TTTTTTCATTTTTCATTGTTGTTTTGGTTTTGGTTTTTTTTTGAGACAGTCTTGCTCTGTCACCCAGGCTGGAGTGCAGTGGCATGATCTCAACTCACTGCAACCTCTGCCTCCCAGGTTCAAGCAATTCCCTGCCTCAGCCTCCTGAGTAGCTGAGATTACAGGCACATGCCACCATGCCCAGCTAATTTTTGTGTTTTTAGTATAGATGGGGCTTCATCATCTTGGCCAGGCTGGTCTTGAACGCCTGACCTCAGGATGTACCCTCCTAGGCCTCCCAAAGGGGAACAGAGTTTTAAGGGTAGCTTGGTAGGTGGGGGGAAGCCAGTGAGCCAGGAGTGCTGATTGGTCGGAGATGAAATTATAGGGAGTCGAAGCTGTCTTCTTGTGCTGAGTCAGTTGCTGGGTGGGGGCCACAAAACCAGATGAGCCAGTTTATCAGTCTGGGTGGTGCCAGCTGATCCATCAAGTGCAGGGTCTGCAAAATATCTCAAGCACTGATCTAGAGCAGTTTAGGGAGGGTCAGAATCTTGTCGCCTCCAGCTGCATGACTCCTAAAAAATTTTTTCTAAACCTATGGCTAATGTTAGTCCTACAAAGGCAATGTAGTTCCCAGGTAAGAAGGAGATCTCCTTTAAGAAAGGGATGTTACTGTCTTTGTTTAAACTATAAACTAAGTTTCTCCCAAAGTTAGTTCAGCCTACACCCAGGAATGAATAAGGACAGCTTGGAGGTTAAAAGCAAGAGGGAGTCAGTTAAGCTAGATCTCTTTCACTGTCTCAGTCATAATTTTGCGAAGACAGTTTCAATTCCTCTGATTTGGTTTTATAACATCTTAATCTTAAGGTGTAGGCTATGAAGTGGGAGGGAGAGTGAAACCCCAAGACACGAAGACTGGAACTGCTTTGCCACTGTCAGCTTGCTCATGCAGGCCTGGCTGGGCTTTCAAGTCTTGCACAGTAAAACATTAGTACTTTTATCTATCATTTTACTACCATATTAAGTGAACAGCCTAGTAGAAGGTAAATAATGAGTCCTAGGATGAGGAGTACAATTCCCAATTATAAAAGCAAAGATTTGGGCCAGGTGCAGTGGCTCACACCTGTAATCCCAGCACTTTGGGAGGCTAAGGCTGGAGGATAATGAGTTCAGGAGGTCAAGACCAGCTTGGCCAATATGGTTAAACCCTGTATCTACAAAAAATATTAAAAAATTAGATGGGCGTGGTGGCAGGCATCTGTAGTTGCAGCTACTTGGGAGGCTGAGGCAGAAGAATTGCTTGAACCGGGAAGCCGGAGGTTGCAGTGAGCCGAAATCACGCCACTGCACTCCAGTCTGGGTGACAGAAGAAGATTCCATCTCAAAACAAAAACAAAAGCTAAGATTTGAAAGCATTAGTTTGGGGACTTCTAACTCACAAATCCAAGAATTTAGGATTTAGTCTAAATTGCAGAAAAAAATTCAAGAACAGGTATAACAACAGTGTACTATAGTTTTTCTTTTGAAGGATAATTTTTCTCACTCCAATCCCCATTTTTATTAAAAAACAAATCATAATAGAACTGATTTGGAACTTAAGACATGGCCCTTGAGCATATGTTTGAGGTCTCAGGGGAAGAGGAATGAGATAAATGCTTGCTTACAGGAGGGCAGTGATGTTGAGGGCGTTACTGACTCTTACCTAGGGAAACAGTGTCAGAGACATTCAAAGCAGAGCGACTCCATCTTCGGAATAGGGGCTGGGTAAAACAAGGCTGAGAACTACTGGCTGAGGTTAAGGCATTCTTAGTCATAAGATGAGACAGGAGGTTGGCACAAGATACAGGTCACAAAGACCTTGCTGATAAAACAGGCTGCAGTTAGGAAGCTGGCCAAAACCCACCAAAACCAAAATGGTGACGAGAGTGGCCTCTGGTAGTCCTTGCTGCTCATTATATGCTAATTATAATGCATTAGCATGCTGAAAAACGCTCCCACCAGTGCCATGACATTTTACAGATGCCATGGCAGTATCAGGATGTTGCCTTATATGGTCTAAAAAGGGGAGGAACCCTCAGTTTCAGGAATTGCCCACCCCTTTCCTGGGAAACTCATGAATAATCCACTCTCTGTTTAGCATATAATCAAGAAATAACTATAAGTCTCTTTAGTCAAACAGCCCACACCACTGCTCTGCGTATGGAGTAGCCATTCTTTTGTTTCTTTACTTCTCTGATAAACTTGCTTTCGTTGTGCTCTATGAACTCACCCTGATTCCTTTTTTGCACAAGATCCAAGAACCCTTTCTTGGAGTCCGGATCAGGAAGACTTTCCTGTAACAGCAGTGCTCAGGAAAGGCACGGGAGGTGCAGGAACTCCCTGTGCAGGGAGACAAGCGTTTCCCACTGACGGTGAGCTTTGGGCCTGCTGATGTGACCTGTGAAACAGCCCTGCAAAAGCAACTCTTAGGACTCACTCCACCTTGTCCTTTAGTTTGTGCAGCAGTTATGTAGGCACAGACTGTTTTGCCTAACAACTCATAGTCTGAAATCTGGCTTAGCCCACACTTCTTGGTCAAAAACTTCTTCAGAAAAGTTTCAGGGCCTCTCCTTTTAGGATGACTAAAATATTGCTTGGCCAATGTTACTGTGCATAGAACACATGGAAATGTTAAAATACACATTCCTGCACCTCACTCCAGATACTCTGGTTCAGCATGTCTGAGGTGGGGCCTGAGAATTCGCTTTTTTTTTTTTTTTTTTGAGATGGAGTCCTGCTCTGTTGCCCAGGCTGGAGTGGATTAGCTCTATCTCAGCGCACTGCAACCTCTGCCTTCTTGGTTCAAGTGATTCTCCTGACTCAGCCTTCTGGGTAGCTAGGATTGCAGGAGCAAGCCACCATGCCCAACTAATTTTTGTATTTTTAGTAGAGACAGGGTTTCACGATGTTGGCCAGGGTGGTCTCAAACTCTTGCCTAAGGTGATCTGCTGGCCTCAGCCTCCCAAAGTGCTGGGATTACAGGCCTGAGCGACCACACCCAGCTGAGAATTAGCATTACTAACGTTCTCCAAGAGAAGCAGATGCCTCTGGCCCACCTGTCGCCCTTTTGGTAACACATATTTGAATTGTGTTTCATCATTAAAATCAGTTATATGGTGACCTTACTTTAAAATGTTAGTGAAAAATGGTCTGTGACAAATCCCAGCCTATCCTGTGATGTTTATAAATTGAAAGCCATGAGCTTTAGAATTGGGTGTATCTGGATTTTTTTGCTGTCCTGACTCTTACAAGCTGTGTGCAACTCACCTCTCCAGGCTTTCAAGTCCCTCAGTTTTTAAATTGGGAATAATTACTTACCTCTTAGGGATGTGGTGAGAATTATATGAGGGAGCAAGTGAAAGGCACAGAGCCCTTATAAGAGATAGACTTGGTATGTCACAGTAGATGCTTGATGTATACATTTTAGAAACTCATCCCCAGCAAATGTGCCCTGACTCCTCCTACCCACATCCTTCTGTGTCATCTCACACACTGGTCAATGTGTTGTCCTGGTTTTCACTACTTCACTGTACTTCTAAGATGTGAAATCTAGTCAGTTTCAGTTAGCTCATCTCTCCCCTATCCAATGTCTTACACGGTGCCTTTGGGACATAGTTGATGATGAATAAATATTTGTTAATTGTGTGAACTACATATAGAGGCCGTATTAGTAGTCTTCAACCCAGGTTACACATAGAATTGCCTGGAAATTACCTGGGATATGCCCCAGAGATTCTAATTCAATTAATCAAGAGTAGTGTTTCTCAACCTTGGCTGCATATTAGAGTCACCAGGGAAATGTAAAACTGCACATGCTCTGGCCCCATCCCTGGCCAGTTACACCATAACCACTGGGGCTGGAACCCAGGCAGCAGTATTTTTGAAAAGTTGTGCCAGGTGACTCCATTATGCAGCTGGGATTGGGCACTACTGGGCTAGATGGGGAAACAATTTAAGCACATCAAGAGTGGACTATTGGGCAGGGTGTGGTGGCTCATGCCCATAATCCCAACACTTTGGGAGGTTGAGGCTGGCAGATCACTTGAGGTCAGTAGTTCTAGACCAGCCTGGCCAACATGGTGAAACCCTTTCTCTACTAAAAATACAAAAATTAGCCAAGTGTGGTGGCACATGCCTGTAATCCCAGCTACTCAGGAGGCTTAAGCAGGAGAATCGCTTGAACCCAGGAGGCAGAGGTTGCAGTGAGCCCAGATTGTGCCACAGCACTCCACCCGGGGTGACAGAGTGAGATTCTGTCTCAAAAAAAAAAAAAAAAAAAAAAGAGTGGACTATTAATGTGTCCTTGGGTCAGACAAATATGAAATTAGGAAGGGAGTGAGTCACTTTTGGCGTATGTCTGATAAAATCTAATTTTGTCCTTTCCAACTCTGTTGATTTAATTTAATTGCTGAGTGTACAGGGTTGTTCTCTTCCTGGTCCACTTCTTTATCCTTTTGGCTAGTTGCTGTTGCTGTAGGGTGGCTGTGCTGGGTTGAATAGTGTCCGCCAAAAATTTATGTCCATCTGGAATCTGTGAATACGATCTTATTTGAAAATAGGGTGTTTGTAGACACAATGGAATTAAGACAAGGTCATTCTTGATTAGAATGGGCTCTAATTCAATGGGTGGTGCCCTTATAAGGAGAGGGAAATTTGAACACACGTGTAAGGGAAAACTCCCTTACAGGGATCAGAGTGATGTGTCTACAAGCCAAGGAATGTCAAGGATTCCAGTAATTTTAAGAAACTGGGAGAGAGGCATTTAACAGATTTTTCCTCAAGCCCTCCAGGAGAAACTAACTTTGGCAACACCTTGAGGCACTTCTTACCTCCATAACAGTGAGATAACACATTTCTGTTGCTTTAAGCCACCTAGTCTGTGTAATGCATGATGGCAGCCTGAAGAAAATAACAGTGACTTAATGGATATTCATGATCTCTATAGCATCTAGGTGTCGAGTTTGTTAAGAAGATTAAGGTAATATTTCTGAAATCATTCCTTTATTTTGCACACACATAGCTGCTATTCACCGTACTTTCTCTAACTACAAGTCCATGCTGCCATGCAATGAAATGTGACAAATTCACTTCTTGCTCAGAAGGCTGAACTGGAAATTCATGAATGTGTTACATATTTAAACTTTCATAGAAGGCTCTAATCAACAAAGCAAAGCTTCTACAGATAGAATGTAGATGTGTATGTTTGTCACCCTTGGGCCTGTCAGCTCCTTCCAGAAAGGAAGTTTTCTTTTCCAAACTTCAGAGATGCTGCAGATCAAGAATTTGCGCAGGTGCATCTGATTAGAAACTCCCTTCATCCAGTGTGAAAACGTTGGACTGAAAGCAGCATAATATAAAAAGAGGTTGTTCTCTGTCAGGGAGAAGTCAGCTCTAAAAACAAAAATAAAAAAAGCAAGTGATGTGAAAAATTCTTTGTTAGTTTTTATGGGTTGAGTGGTGTCCCTTCCAAAACCTAAAATCCTTAAATTGAAGGCCTAACCTCCAGTACCTCAGGGAGTGTTTGTATTTAAAGACAGGGGCGATTAAAGAGGTGGTTCAGGTTAAATGGAGTTGTTAGGGTGGGACTTCATCCAGTGTGACTGGTGTCCTAACAAAAGAGATGAGGACACAGATCCACACTAAGGAATGCCAGCGAGAAGGACGCCATCTGTGAGCCAAGGAGAGAGTCCTCAGAAGACACCAATTCTGCTGACACCTTGATCTTGAAATTTCAGTCTTCAGAATTGTGAGAAAACATACCTCTGCTGTTGTTTAAACCACCTAGTCTGTGGTATCTTGCTGTGGCAGCCCTAGCAGGCTAATACAGTAGTCCTATGCAGCTTATCTGCCAGATCAAGATACTGTTTTAAGCTTTAGCCCCCTGCATGCATCTGCATATAAGCTGTGTATTTGTCCGTATCAATATGCGTAGATGGATGTCTAAATGGGTGCTGTTCTAACTGTTCACATTGTTTACCTCTTTGTGGTGGGATTATGGATGAGGTTTTAACATTCTTTGTATTTTTCTGTTGTGTTTGAATTTTAAAAATGATTTGTATGTCTTATTTGTGGAAAGACAAAAAAAATTGACTTTTAAAAGAAAAAAAAAAAAGGACCTCTCCTCAATAGTAATTTATTCTGGCTTCAGTGGCCCCTTTTCTCCTCTGGGACAGATCTGAAATATTAAACAAGCAGAAAACCTCCAGCCCAGAAGAGCAGATACTACACCAACTCCAGTATGACCCAACATTTCTTGCTGCCTGGGCATTTTTAGAAAAAGCCTTATTTGTTTTGTGGTATTAGTTATCAAAGTGCTTTTTATCAAGAAATCTGCTTTTTTCCTATTTTTTTACATAGATAATATAAAAAACCTCAGAAACTCTCCTTTTAAACTCAGAATGCACAAATAAGACTAGAACTCCATGTAAATGAACTCCTTGCTGGTGTATAAAATAAATGAAAAGTGCTGCATTCAAGGATAGAGATCAATCATAAGTCTTATTTCCACAAGAAAAAGTTTGGCCTTTTAAAAGCAACACTTCGGGGTTCGGGCCCAGTGGCTCACATCTGTAATCCCAGAACTTTGGGAGGCTGAGGTGGGTGGATCACGAGGTCAGGAGATCAAGACCATCCTGGCCAACACGGTGAAACCCGGTCGGTACTAAAAGTACAAAATTAGCTGGGCGTGGTGGCACATGCCTGTAATCCCAGCTGCTCAGGAGGCTAAGGCAGGAGAATCACTTGAACCCGAGAGGAGGAGGTTGTGGTGAGCAGAGATCTCGCCATTGCACTCCAGCCTGGGCAACAAGAGTGAAACTCTGTTTAATAATAATAATAATAATAATAAAATTAAAAATAAAAAATAAATAAAAGCAACACTCGAGTTGATTAAATCTGTTATTATTAACTAGATTTTTTCTTCTGCAATGAAAAAAAATGATTAAAGTCTTTGAGAGCTGTGAGAAAGACTGAAGATTATTTGACTCAGACTTTCCTCCATGCAAAACATCCCCCCCACCCTAACTCAACTCTGTAGGAGAGGAAACAGAACAAGAAGGATGAGGTGACACCTCCACTGTGACATAGCACCTCAGCCACAAAAAACTGCAGCCAAGGCTTGGTGCAGTAGGAAACATCACCAAGCAGAATTCCAAAGGCCTCAGTTTAATAGTGAGGTGGTCCTATTACAGGGGGATTCTCAACCTTGGCTGCACATTCAAATCACTTGGGGGAGAGTTTTAAAAGTACATGCTCCTGGGCTACTATGTTGGAGACATAGGTGAAACGGTGTGGCGAGGGGCCTGGGCATCAGCATTTTTAAAGCTCCTTGTAGGTGATTCTTGTGCATCAACAGGGTCAAGTGCCTCCTGATGAGCCACTCATCTACTCTGCTCTGCAACAGACAGCCCCAAACCCACCCACAAACACATGCTGACACTGATGTGGTCGCAGCAGTTGTGAGAGAGCTAAAACACATGCTGACCCTCTGATGTGGTCGCAGCAGCTGTGAAAGTGCTAAGTGCCTCTCGCGTATTTTCTGTATATGAGTAAAGGAAAGGGTGTTACCTGTAGGGGTCTTTCACCTGTCACCCTCGGAAGAAGCTGATGAGAAAGGCGCACAGGGCCTGGAAGGGTTTCCAACAGTGTTCCCAGGGCTGCTTCTTTGCTTCCTCATTCCCTCCGGGCCTGGGTGCAGGCTGGGTAGCTTTGGCTGTGAGTTGGGTGGTGGGTTTGGCTTTTCCAAGCTCTTCCATCGAGTCCTTTCCCAGCTGTCTTGCTTCTGTGGGTTTCACTGAGGCCTTGGGACTCAGAGATGGCGTCCCAGCCTCGGGGTGCTGGTTGGGCACTGGGCTGCCCTTGAGGCTGGAAGTCACCTGCTGCATGTGGGCCTGGGGCCCAGCCTTCCTGCACACGAATGGCCTCAGCACCGGGGCCCCCTGGCATGCATGGTGAAGGCGCCTCAGCTCCTGCAGGGCTTGGTTCCAATAAGGTTTGGGGTCAGTAGCGAAAGCCTGGCACACGCTGGGCTGCCCCCTGTACTCACACCAGTACGTCTGATCTGTGTTGTGGCAGTCTATGCGAAGCCAGACTTCCCTGGCACCTTGCCCCAAGCTGCTGGGGTGCATAATGCAGGAATCTCTCCCTCCAGTTTGGAAATGGAATTCCTCCCCAGTGATTCCTTGCTTTTGCCTTGGGGCCTCACCCAAAGTCCCCAGGCAGGACAAGGTCACCAGCAGGAGGCACGGGATGAGCTTCATGGTGATGCTCTAATTAACCCGCCTGCAACACTGCACCAGGAGAGAGAACCCAAGTGGGACGAGTCACCTTTTAAAGGGTGCTGCACAAAGGACTCTTTCTCTGCAAGGGTGGGAGGGTGTTTTGCAGCAAATGCGAAACATGACCACAGACCTTGGACACACAACACTTGGCAAGGGCAGAGCAGCCACCAGGGGCTGCCTACCACGAGCAAAGGGAATGTTTTTCCTGAGTGCATCAGAGAGCTCTGCCCCAGCTCTGTCACACACAAAGCACTACACACAGCTTTGGGGTTGAGGGTTTTACAGCTTTGCAACCATGGGGCGCTTGCTCTAAAATTGGCCCTTGTATGGGAACAGCCTTCTTTGTCAACATTTGGTGTATGCCAAGGTGTGGCAATGGAGTTCTGGAAAGAGAGGTTTGCAGTTCGGAGTCTGGGCTGCCTTGAGGCTCCCTCCCCCTCCCCATCTTGGGGAACCTTGGGTTTAGTTAATCCAAAGGATGCCAGAGTTTTGTGAGCCTAGGTCTTATGAGATGGTCTAGCAAATGCAAAAAATACTCTGTGAGGTTTAAAAAAAATGAATTGTGTGAGGGCGTGTGTGCTAAAGGAATACAGAAACACTTCCCCTCCCACCCACTGAGCTGAGACCAGGAAGGCATGCAAATGTATGTTCACACTGGGATTCAGTCTATTTTAGACCATGAATTCTATTTCAAATTCAATTGAAATAACAGTTTTAATTATAGCGCAGAAAAATATGATTTTAAATATTATCATTATTGTGCTAAAACAGGAAAAAAAGCAAAATAAATTGAAAATAACTTCTGGTTCTGTGTCAAGAATCATATTTTGCTATGGTCCTAAGTGTCTTTTGGTGACCCTTCCAGAGGGCACTGTGGAGTGGACGAAAGGTGGCAATTTGTTGTTAGGGATAGGATTGACAGACACTGGGGGACTAGTTTGAATGTGAGGGATTTATCTTGGCGATCCCACCTTCAAGACAAATCAGTCAACTTGTCAGGTTAAGAAGGGATAAAGGACAATGTGTGTGTGTGTGTGTGCGTGCGTGTGTGTGTTCGGGATGGGGCCTCACTGTCACTCTGTCACCTAGTCTGAGTTGCAATGACGTGATCATAGCTCACTGTAGCCTCCAACTCCTCAGCTCAATCACACCTCTTGCCTCAGCCTCTCAAGTAACTGGGACTACAGGCATGAGCTACCACATCCAGCTAATTCTTAAATTTTTAGTTTTTAGGGACAGGGTCTCATTATATTGTCTAGGCTGATCTCAAATTCCTGGTCTCAAGCAATCCTCCTGCTTCCTTGTCTTCTGGAGTCGCTGGAATTACAGATATGAACCACCACAACCAGCTAAGGGTAGGTTGTTTTTTTGTTTTTTTTTTTCACTGGAGACAATCTCACTTTGCCACCAAGGCTAGAGTCTAGCTGACTGCAACCTCCGCCTCACAGGTTCAAGTGATTCTCCTGCCTCAGCCACTTGAGTAGCTGAGATTACAGGCACTCACCACCATACCCAGCTAATTTTTGTATTTTTAATAGAGATGGGGTTTCTCCATGTTGACCAGGCTGGTCTTGAACTCCTGACCTCAAGTGCTGAGTTAGCCTTGAGGACTTAGCCTTCCAAAGTGCTGGGATTACAGGCATGAGCTACCGGCCTGGCCAAGGGCAGGTTCTTAAGGCAGGACCATGCTTCCCATAAAGGAGTGCTCCTGGAGGTCAGGTTTATGGACTGCTGAAATGTCAAGGGCAAGGAGGCAGCCATGAGAGACAGGCTGGAGAGGTGACTCAGGGTGGAGTCTGCAGCCCCAGTATCACTCCACAGGATCAATTCTGAGACAGAGGTTTGGCTTTTGTGTGCTTCTGATTCAGAAGGCCCTGGAGTAAGCAGCATTGCAAGCCAGGCTCCATGTCATGGCCAGAGGAAGGCGGGTGTTCAGCTCCAACCTCCTTTCCCCCACCCACCACAGTGTTTCAGGAAACAGCTTGCTAGACCCATCCAGCCGCCCTGAGTTCATGGCCAGCCCTTTTCAACGCCCTAGTGAGGTTAACCCTGCAACGGGAACATACCATAAGAGTGCTAATCACGCTCTTCCACCTTTCGCTTTTGGAACAAGCCAATCCTCAAGACACTTGTACTAGTTGTGCCCACTGTCTGAACACTGCATACCTGGCTTTTTCCTGCCACCTTCACAGAAACCTTCCCTCACTATACAATGCAAAGGAGCTCTTCTGTTCCTCTATCACTTCATCCTGCTTCAACCCTCTTGAAGGCAGTGATTTCTTTCTTATTTGCTTGTCCATCTTAAATGTGGAGTGTCATGATCAGATTTGCACTGTAAGAAGCTGCAATGTTGAGGAGGGATTGGTGGTGGCACAGGCTGTGCACAGGGACGTAGTGGGCAAGGTGGCTGTGTACAGGCTGAGTTGCTGTAACAAAAAGACCCTCTCTACTATGAACCAGTCTTCCAGGTTCATGCTCAGCAGTTCTTCAGATTTAACACATGGTTTGTTTGATTGCTGCCATTTCCAGTGGAATAAGTCAAGGATCTGCAGTTTTGTCTTAGTAGATACTTCACTTACTTACCACTGGCCAAAGCCTAGTTACTCACCACACCTAGCTGCAAGGGAGTCTGGGAAATGTAGTGCCCAAAAGATAGCCATATGTCTAGCCAAAACTCAGGGGGCTGGAAGCATAAAAGAAAAAGGAAAATGCCTCACTAGCCAAGACACATTATGAAAACTTTAAGAGGGTATTGTCAGTGAAGATGGAGAAGCAGCTTGGTGACCAACGGTGGATGGAAGGGAGAGGGAAGGCTGACTTAGATTCCTCTGGCTCCAGTGATATGATGAAGGTGGAGCAATTCAAGAAAGGGAACATGGCTGGGAGAGCTGTGGGGGTGTGCAGGTCAGGACAGTGGTTTAAGGCAGGGGCCATAAACTGTGGCCCATGTGGCCTGCTTTTGTAATTTTTGGAGAACACAGCAATGTCCATTCACCTACTTATTGCCTATGGCTACTTTTATGCTACAACAGAGTTAAGGAGACATAGGCCACATGGCCCAGAAAACAAAACATATTCACCATCTGACCCCTTACAGAGAAAGGTTGCCAACCTCTGGTTTAAGGTGCATCTGGGTGGAGACATGTCGTGAATACAAGGGTGGCCGGAGCTCTACTGTGATGAGAGAACCAAAGGGAGCAGGTGAAGCAATAAGTGAATGAAATCGCCCAAGGAAAGAGTAAGGGGTGGGCCAGGAGAGAACCTGTGAATGCCACCTAAATTTAAGGATTGGAGAGATGAGCATTGGAAGGAGACCGAGAAATAGACAGCCATGCTCCAGGAGGACACTGGAGAGAGATGCTTTGGGAGCCTAAAGGGAGATCTTTGTAAAAGGCTGTGTTCACAAAGGTGAAGTCCTCAATAACCCTGAAAGGAGCTCTTCAGGAGTGGTGGAGACAGAAGCCAGGTCACAGGAGCTGAATAACCAATGGAGGTGAGAAAGTGGATATAGAGATGTGTAGAGAATTCTTTTACAGAAGTTATTTGTGAAGAGAGAGGGAAAAAAGAAAACATGTTGTTCTACCAGGCTGAGTGTGCAGTGGGGTTGAGGAAAGACTGATTTTTTTTTCTTTTTTTTTTTTTTTTGAGACAGTCTCGCTCTGTTGCCAGGATGGAGTGCAGTGTCACGATGATGGCTCATCGCAACCTCTGCCTCCCAGGTTCAAGAGATTCTCCTGCCTCAGCCTCCTGAGTAGCTTAGACTACAGTTGCATGCCACCACATCCAGCTAATTTTTGTGTTTTTAGTAGAGACAGGGTTTAATCATGTTGGCCAGGATGGTCTCGATCTTCTGACCTCATGACTCACCCTCCTCGGCCTTCCAAAGTGCTGGGATTACAGGAGTGAGCTGCTGTGCCCGGTCAGGCTGATTTTTTTTTAGGAAAGATAAGAACTTTAGGACCATATCCTTCCACTGTGTGTTTGGTGATTTGAGATACTGAAAAATAAATAGGTAAAAGTTGCAAGAGTGACACTACTAACTTGGCTTGAATAACTTGAATTATTTAAATGGGTGATGGAAAAATCAGGTTTTCAAAAAATGGGAAGAGATAATTTCCTCCAAAAGAATTATACACTATATAGTCTTGTTTAAATTGCAAGCTTCTTGTGTGTAGTTTTTAAAAAATTCATTTTTACTGATGTATGTTTAGGAGTACATCAGGCAAAGTAGAGTTTGCCTAGAGTTGGTATTCAATTGTGTATATTGTGATCTGGACAGTTCCCTAAGAAATGATGACTTTAGATCTGAGAAAGGGAGGATCTGAAAAAAAAAAAAATAGCCCACTTTGACCATGACCTTGAATTACTTCTGTATAATGGGCCCTTTAACAATAAGAAAATAATGGAATGCATCACAAGTAACATGTGCCCAAATTTCAGCATCTAAGTTGTGAGTCTCTGGATCTATTCAACGAGGCAACATACAGATCATGTTTTCCAAGATCGTTTTTATTGAAATAAATCAGAACTGCAATCTGCACATGAGAAGACGTGGGGGAAAGCCTACATCCGGAATTTCATTTTGCCAATGTTAAATTTTGTCCAACCGGTTTTTACTGTTGATGATTTTTGATAATGACAGATCCAACATGAAAATCCTAAAGCAATGGATATTTACCTTGTGCTTTCATGTATATTTAGGGACCAAACACAAAGGATTCATCCATGCTGGACACCAAATCTAAGAATTGTGACAGGATCTTCTCATATGTCATTTTAGAACCCTTGCCACTAATCAGGTGATATTCATGGTAGCTGCATTGCATTTAATGTTTACCCTAATGCAACAGAAGACTCTGTTAAAGTGTACACTGTAATTGGCATCTGTTAAAACAATCCCACTTTTGAACAAACAGCATTTCTTTCTCTCAAGATCTCTCTTTCTATTCTGAATTTGCCAGATGGAGTTACACAGGTTTACCTGTGATTGCTTTTGCATGCCATTTCCAAATGGAACATGATCAATCTTTGATAAATAATAGATGAAAATCTCTGAACAAACAATATGCTGTAGGTTTCACACACTTTTAGTGAAAATGGATTATTTTCAACAGCACCAAGAAGTCAACGGTGACTTATTTAGCTCATTTAGAAGAAAATCCTATAATACCCAT